TATTTTGTGATGTGACTAACCAGATAAAAAAAAAAATCGATTATTTTTGTAAGACTGGCTCGTTATAATTAATCTGAACAGCTATGTATTATTATGTTGAATACAGAGTTATTTTATAATGCATAATAAAGTTACAGACCAGGTATTTTTATAACATCGGCTTATTCAAACATTAAGCATTATTTAGGTTACAGATTAGATTGACTCATGATAATGTTTGTTGGATCACAGGTCAGGTAATGTCAAAATATTTTAACACCGTAACAGGCTCTTTCATCACATTGAATATGACAATGTAATTTATATTATGCAATTTCAAGATATTGGTGCCCAGTCAATGTCTTAATATTGAACCACGATAACACTTATCAGTTCAAAGATCACTCAGTCAATGTCTTAATATTGAACCACGATAACACTTATCAGTTCAAAGATCACTCAGTCAATGTCTTAATATTGAACCACGATAACACTTATCAGTTCAAAGATCACTCAGTCAATGTCTTAATATTGAACCATGATAACACTTATCAGTTCAAAGATCACTCAGTCAATGTCTTAACATTCAACCACGATAACACTTATCAGTTCAAAGATCAAGTATTTTTTATAATATTTGACATTCATAATATTAAAGTGCTTACAGCTCAAGTAATATAAGGATACTCAAACATGTTAACTACATTAGGTCACAAAGGAATTCGCATCATAATATTTTTACAGTCGTATTAAGAAACGACGAAACAGTTGGTATCTTGACGTTGCTTCCAATATTATAAAGAAATTATGAATTAATTTGCGTCATGATTCCACTTGCAAGAATCTTAAGAGATCAATAACTTGGTGATATATATTAGATAAAGGTATCAAATATCTGTCTAGTACTCGGGTATCTCAATTAAGCTTCGTACTGTGACATTGGTTTACTTTAGCTGATGTCATGTGGCCATGAACCAGTGGACGTCGTAATATTGCTTATAATGACATTAAAATAACAAATGATCTGGTATGACATTGCTTGTCATAGTATTTTCAAGTTCAGCTGATTGGTTCATCTTAATCTGTTCAGCAGTTATAAATAGGGACTGCTATAACCTTGGAATCCCTGACCTAGCTGGCCGGCTAGTCCATACATTGTATAAGGTTATGTTCAGGTTTGAAATTCCAACTTACAGGCAAAAATAGGCAAAAATATAGATGTGATTTCTTTTTTTTTTAAATGACAACTTGGTCAAACACCACTTTCAACTGGTGTCTCTTTATTTTGCTTTCTACCATTTTCTATTTTAGACACAGTTTTTGAGGTTGGGGTAATTTTTTTACAGTTTATATTTCAGATTGTGAAACATTCTTACTTTTATTATCCTTATTTCTACTGTATCTTTAGACCATCCCCTGAATCAGTTGTTCTTTCTGGCATTTTAATACTATACAAAAGGATGTGTATATGTTATATCAAAATGATTTTGAATATGCAAATCGGAGATTCACATGAGAATCGTAATCAAATTAAAGAAGCGGTGGAACCGAATATACCAGAACTACATTTTGACATTGTTCCCTATGTAGTGTAATGCCTAGTTTTTGTGAACGGTATGTAACATTGTGTGCAGATCGGGGATTTATAATTTTCAAGATCGATATGTCCCTTGTACTTAATGTTACTGAAAAACAACGGAAAATAGATGAAATTGGTAAACCAGGACCGTCCAGAAAGATACCTGTAAAATGTCTTACCCCAGCAAAGCGCGGCGCCTTGTAATGGGTGAGAATCCACAAGCATAAAGGTCAGTAGTAGAAGCCATCTACGTTCCCCAGGAAACAGTATTCAACATAATCAAGAAAGATCTCCGTATGGAAAAGCGACACAACTCACGTGCACGCAAGATACTTTCACGACATATCCGTTCAGCCGGCACATAGCTCAAGTGGCTGAAGAATGAAACTAGTATTGGTGATGCTATTCTGTGTGAAAACATATTGGACAAGTCATCGGACGTAACGTCTATGGATTTCTGTACAATCGGACTGTTGAAACGGCACTGGAAAACCGTCCTCCTTATAGCTAATGGAAAGGAAGCAGGGAGAAGTGGTGTGTATACGACAACCTTACGACGGAGCCTTTTACCACGAGAAATATGCTACATGGCTATTGTAAACATGCACGGTCGTCAGATAGAACTTGACCATATGTGGTGACATGGACTTTAACGACGTGGTGAGGCTCCAAAATCGTTTTAATACAATTTGTTTTCCTGTTTTTCTGGTGCATTATAGGTAAAACAATATTGTATATTTCATTATGATTTGCTGTTATTATAGTATTTCTAGATATTACAGTACCAATCTTAGTATCGTTAAAACATATCTCATATTTCGTTCACACCCCCTTTATAACTATATCATTGCAAGATTCTATATTTTCTCTACCACTTGGCAATGCTATATGTCTTAGATATCTCATTTTCACTCCAAATTGTGTATTCTAACTTCCACTCAGTAATTAGAACGCTAAAATATGTTCCAATTTTCACTCAATTTTTTATTGAAATTCATAGACCACCCGCCGTTCTGCCAGTTGCTCAGCGGTACGATTTATTCTAAGGAAAACACTACAGTATTAGTTTCAGTAGTACATTTGATTGTGTGAAAGCTTGAAAGAATGGATGCTGCTGTGGACAAAAACCTTAACACCGTATTTTTGTTTTTTTTATCCACGGATTAATTTTCAACCACAGTAAAAAAAACAATTATGCACTTCATAACTGGTAGCACGGCATAAGTGCTCAGTGTGAGTTGAATAGTGGTACACTTTACACACTTATTCTAAATGACCGGCACTCTTGTTACTTTAGAGTTGGTTGTAGAGGACAATGAGTAATAAACCTACACCGTCCAAGGACTTTACAAGAGGGCCGAGTACGACTCGGTGGTTAGCGTGTCGGACTTTGGATCTGGGGTTCCGTTATCGCAGGACAAGGAACAAGAAATACTGATATTTGTTTTCTATGAGGTTTTGCATAAGCCATTGAAAACTCTGTAATCTACTGTGTCAAAATATGCAATCCATATGACAGTAACGTATTTCAGTCAGAAGTTATGATCAGTCGGAGACACGGGGTTTCGAAGTGGCTTCACTACCTTACCAGTAACGGTTACACATATCAGTTGGTTATATATAATATATATATATTTTTAATTTCAAGTCAAATTATGCACCCTTTCTTGATTGTCTTTTTGATGTATATGGCCTTATTCTTGGTCTTCTGCTCTGGCAGAAGGCTACTACGACTATCACTACTGTTCTTGTCAGCACTAAATCTATTTTGGAGTGCCGACACAGCATCTTTGTGCTTGATAGATAAACTAGCCTCAACAATGGTTGGCTAAAAGTTCATTGTTATTGCATCTATAGCCACTGCATCTAGGAACCTTGTACATGCAGGTAATCGAGGGAATAATGATGATTGATGATAATATGCTGAAGAGTAGCAAAGTTCCAGTCACGGTCAGCGGGGCTTGGAGCTATCTGCTGAAAATCTATTGCGTTCCGGTCTGAAAAAACAGATGCAACGACACGCGAATAAGAATAATATTGACGTAACAGACCTGTAGGCTACACAATAAGAAATACTGTCATTAACTATGGGGTTTCTGCTGATGATGTGGCCTATCATAACTTGGTAAATTTTTGTCTGACTAGGGTACAGTAAAGTGTAATCATTATATCTCATCGTATGATACATTATTGACAAGTTTCACCAAAATCAGGATTCGCCACGTCGGATCCTTGCCACCGAGGCGTCCTTGGTTGAGGGAGAGATCCGCAGTGTATGTGTGTTACGTAATAATTTGATATATTCAGGTACACTGACTTATCTTATTTTTCGTATAGTAACCGCAAATAACAGGAGGAACAACCAAGAAACGTATCAGGAAGTCACACTGAGTCATCAAGAAGCATGCTAGCATGTGATACACGCTTTTGCGCAGGCTGCTCCTGTGGTAGAGCTCTGGACTTCGGAGCTTGCGAGACGAGTTCAGATCCATGCGATATCACAAAATATTATTCGCGCTTTATCCTGTTGGCGCGTTATTGAAGTGGCAGTCAAACACTTAGCGTGGATGGTGAGTGCTGCTGGCTGGTTGCTTCCCTCTGGTCAGTAGTTTAAAATTAGTAGTGGCTTCAGACAGCCTTATTAGATTTGCCATAAAATACAATACAAGATACTTTTGCATGATTAACTAGTGTCCACTACTGTATTAAAACGCTTAAAAGTAGAAGTTGAAATGTTTTATTACCAGCACGTAACGTTTTCAAAACACAGTTCTATATTGAGTGCAACGTTACAACACGCAGTACTGATGTCGGCAATGAACTGTTAACAAGAAACTTTTTATTCAATGTAAAGTCAAATCACTTGTAATCGTCCTATTGGAGGTTTGCCCCTCTTTTTCAGATTGTTAATTCGTTGCTTAGTTTAGAGGGATGTGTTTATATATCTATATGTGTGTGTGTGTTTATATGTATATATATATTTATATTTAAATATATATATTTAGCTCTGTGTCTGATCGCTGTTGTTGCTGTCGGTTTTAAACGTGTTTACACGTGATTTTAATTATCCCTTATTGTTAATATGTGAATATGATATTACCCACAGAACGTGTATTACAATGTTAGATCATTTACCAAACCAGCTAAAATTTTTTTAGCACGTGATTTCAATACGTTGTTGTGAAACACTGCTTAGTTTCCTATGTGGATACGGTAAAAACCGTTATTGTGAAACGCGAGAGTGTGATTTCTAGCGTACATGCGCGTTGCAACCGTAACAAAGATTGTTTTGTGTGGTACAGTCTTAGTTTACAAATATTTTAGTGGTATATCTTTTACACTTTACACTATCAACTTGCACGTATGGGGCTCCCCCCCTCTCGGTGATTGCTGTGGCATTAGTGATTGTACATAATAGGAGTATATGTAGAAGGTTTCTATATCGAAGTCGTTTCAAGGCCAGTGAAGCTTCTTTTCCAGTCATTGTGACAACATATAGGAACACTATAACGTATATGCGTGGACTAGGTTTACAGAAAATGTTTTTTGTCATAGTTACTGATAAGATTATGATCTTTAGAACGAGTATCAACACAAGATATGTAACGTCGGCTATAAAACAATGCTGTGAATCCTAAACCTTGACAATCAGCTCGATTCGTAACGTATAGAGGGCGATCCTTATAACGTTTACGCCCACTTGTACTTCAATAACATTTGCTACTGTTGCCTGTTGGTGAAGGGTTACCTTTAACGGGAAGTTTCATTCTGGACCTTAACACTTTTTGCAGTTCCAGTAGCAATAGACGCTTAAGGTGCATATAAAATAATGTGAGGTGTTGGCTTAACCCTTCTGTGTTAGTTACTCTCTTCCACCGATACACCCGGAGCTGTCGTCCTGTATTGATCACGTAATACACCTTGACTTAATATTCACTCTCGTCTCTGTGGCGAGTTTGCTGAAGCTAAGCTATTATTATTATTTTTTGTGGTAATGATGTTCTATGAACAGTACCATTGAGTCATGCGGAAATTTAGCCTTCCTTGGAATAAAGGATCCTCCTACAACCTTGATGCAGCATCGACTAGCGAGCAGAATGGAAAATTCATCTCCAGGTATCGTCAAACCTTCCCCTCAGAAGTCCACGAACATGGTGGAAATAGAGAGGATTCTTGCTGTTATTATTATAATTACTCCCATCATCACACCAACACCTCGGTAGGCCATGACAACATTAACGTGAAGAACGAACATTGTCGATGTTCTTGTTGCTATTTTCAACACCACCAGCACAACCCAAGACAGGTTAGGGCTAGGGGTAACAGTCTACCGCTCGTACAACTTTCCGAGCATCAACATGAAGGGCGCTTTGTAGGACCTAGGGAGGTTAGCATTCTTTAAAATTTTTGGGTAGAGTTAATTATCTGTAGATGTAAGAAGAGTAGCCTAATTTAGAAACAATTTATTAGTATAGCTTAATGTAGGTATGGTGATAAACTAGTTGAAGAATGAGATGCGATTTGTTTAAAATTGTTTAAATATTAATTTCTAGTTAAAAACTAACTCATTTAATACTGTGTTTGTAGCGTTAATACAGTCATGTGTTTAATTGTGTGTTCATAGTGTAAGAATAATGTGTGACTGTACTTATTGTATTTAGTACGGTCATGTGTATCTGACCTGTTCAGTACTTATCAATTTTAGTGAAGTCATGATAGGGATTTGCAGCTTGAGAAAATAATGAGGACACCATTTCCAGCTTAGTTTGTTTACTTCTTTTAGAGCCCCTAGTTATAGGCTTGAAAATATAATCTTTGCATTTTGATTAAACTTGTTTCTGTACGTTTTTGATCATCCCTATTCCCCTTCTTAAATTAACAAGAAACAAGATTAGCAAAAATTAAGTTTTTTTATGTCCATTTATAGAGAATAAATTAAAGACCACAGACAATAGAGTATTTTTCGTGCTTGAATGTGTATATTGTATCACACTAAAATATTACGTTTAAAAAAAAAAAGTCACGAAATACCCAAGATCAAGTGGCTCCAAGCCATATCTGGTCAGGGTTGGCTAGCTTTAAGAAAAACTAGCGGAAGCGCCACATCGCGAAATGGGCGGGCAAGCCTACGTCACACAAGGTAAACAAAAATGGCGACAGCAGGTGAAGAGGAAGATAGATGTAATGTGTCAATCACACGTATATGTTTGAACCAGAGCTTGCAGACGATAATGTGTCTAATGTTGACATGTTGGCCAAAGTGCACGAGGACTGGCAGTTGTCTGATCTTTCTTGGTATGGAATTGTTTCAATAGTTATATGTTACATTGTTATAAAAGACTGTTTTACACTGACATTTCAGGACGATGGGACGAAATTTACAGCCGTCAGTGTGGTCACATGATCGATAATATAGTAAAACTATTAGTACATTCTAGTAAATATTTGTTTTTTCCAATGATGAATCTATATCTAGATGTAGATATAATATTAGCTGATGGACTCCCGATACTGTATTCTGAAATTTCATACAAAAAAATTGTTTTAGCAGATCTACTGGTGTGTTTTATAAAATCTGAATGGTTGCTGACAATTTTATATTGCACTTAAAACATTAGCTACAACTTGAGCTTACCCTGTTTTTGAACAGCTGATAGGACACGACTATCATCGCAGTTATTGGTCTGTGAACAAGAGGGTGATGTGCCACTAGCATAAGCCTGACTGCTGATCGCCGTGCTTGATGGATCTCCCTCGAATTTCGGGTACACGCTGGGTGCTGCATCTTTCTTTAGCGCCAGTTTTTTTTTGTGCAAATCTTATATCAAATTGTAGTTTATTTTCGAAGTTTGATTTTTAAAGCTGTTCACTGCATACATGGCAGTTTGATACGAACTTTGTCCAGGCTATGTTTCGTTTTCTGTCTGACTTAAGTGGAAACTCGTATAGAGTACTCCTTGTTCTCACATCCATAAACAATACAGCGAAAAAAACCATAACTGTGTGCTCAAGAATAACTATATTTACGATGTCTGTCAAATGAAATTTGTCCAGAAAAAAACAAAAACGATTGTGGATTGTTTGGTAATATGTTTTTATAAGTCAAACTCGAGCATCGGAGACATTGCTGTTATATTACTGTAGTTTAAGTTTACAATATTCTTATTAGAACGAAATTTTCAGCCATTTTGAGTAATTAAATGTAATAACTTCCCTTGATTATTATTTTTTACTTAAGCGTGTAAAGGATCATGTGTTTTTTTATCTGCATTGATTTACAAAACGTTACTCGGTAGAGAAAGCTTTGTAAATTGAGATTTTAAATTGCAATGTTTGTGTTCTTGGTGAGGGGGGTATTTCTTTCTTGTTGGAGATATTTTTAAAATGCTCATTCTTTTTTCAGAGAGATTATAAACGACTTGTATTATTTCAGATCAAAGCGTGCATTTGTTGATAAACGCTTATACAGATATGATAAAAAGTCCAAATTTCAGAAAGCCAACAAATTCCCAAGCTTATACTCAGTTTCATCTACATTGTACAAACAAAGCAGCTTACTAAATGTATTGCTTAAAAGTAACTACCCAAGTTGAGATTTTTGCTTTTGAATACCAGTTCAGAAACAACAAGACACTGACGTATTAAAGTACCTTTACGCTGCTTGTCCGTCTAGAAAGAGCAAGTGACACTGACGTATTAAGGTACCTTTACGCTGCTTATCCGTCTAGAAAGAGCAAGTGACACTGACGTATTAATACCTCTGTGTCTTTGTATATACCAATAAAGGGTTACAGCACACACACACACACACACACACACACACACACACACACACACTGTAGCGCAACTTACCAGGCAGGGCCAAAAACTAAAGGTGTCACACTTAAAGACACAAACAAACTATAGGTGCAACGTACAATGGTGGAAGGATAAAATTACTTTAAAAATAGATCCCAAGATAGCGGTAAAGACACACCGTTCATCAGATTTCTACAACTGGTATAACTTTGATCTTTCTCGCGGCATTTATGATCTTATATGGTGATTGAATAGTTATATTGCTATATGTTAATTCTCGCCTGTGCTATTATGTAGGGATGACGCAAATACCATTCCTACTATCTTGTTTGCATGGTTTTTGAAGGATTGTTGATATTAGCCATCCCTACTTACTTACTTCTTTTTTATAGTTTTTCTTTACTTGTTTTTTAATGGAGTATTTCAATAGACATAGGAAGGTTGTATTTATAACCAAGTTCTAAATACAATGAGGTTACAACTGTAATTTTTTTATTATTGACTGGTAATTCATTTTTCACCCTGTAGTTAAGCTTTTTAAAGGAACACAATTTCTGTAAGAAAGTTAGCTTCAAGAGGTAATGGTAACATCGTTTACACTGGAATTATGATTTAAAACAATTACAACTAGTTATTAATGATACATATAAAAGCGGATACTCCGTTTGAAACTACTTCACCTCAGTGAAATTGACACCATTGTTTTGGTTTTTGAGTTATCATGTAATAAAAAAGAAGCAGAAGAAAGAACAAGAAATTCAAACTTTTTGCAATGATTCGATGACAAGGAGCCCACTTTGAGACTAATAATGGTTGGAGACGGCTTGAATGGGTAATGAAGAAAACTCTAATATAAGTTTAACAGAACAGCAA